CATTCAGCCTCTACATTAACAGTTTGTTAATCTTTGTATTCTACGTATTCTTCTTTATTTCACCCCTTTAATCTTACCGGGGATACTTAGTAAAGATTCTGTTACACGGCAAAGGCATTATAAGCTGTTGGATTGGGCGAGCGGGGTTGACACTAGGCCAACTCGTTAAAACTCAGGCAAACAAGGACTTGAACTCGTGTAAGAAACCTATAGATTTCATCGTGTGTACACAACTTTCCAGCTGCATGTCATCATGTAGGACTAAAAGCTCAGATGGCTAAGTTTAAAAACTCTACAATGTCTTAATTAGCTTGCATTTTGTGTGATAAGAAAAGTGTTAGGTAGGAAACTACCAACTTATTGAGGGACAGTAAGCAAACGTACCCTTTTTTACTCCTTCAATCATTTATGCACTGTTATCAGTATCAACTTTTAATTTTAATTTCACATTCACATCCCTCATTGACATTATTATGAAGGTAAATGTCCTGTTAATTAATCCCTTTAACACCACCACCCCCCCCTCACACTCACACTAAGTAAATGTAGAGAGAAAATTAGATTCAATATTGCATGTATTATATGCTGTCAATTCCACAATGTATCAAATATAATGTTTGTTGTAAAGCTCATTACATCTTCTTTGAAGATTGTTAAATTACTTGGTTGTTACTTGATAGCTTATTTCGTAGAACTGACGAATCAATAATGTATTTTCCTTTTTACAATCAATCCTTATCGTTTGCCAGATAATAATCAGAAACCGATGTCACTTATTTATTCTACGGTCGACAACCAAATCACATCAGTATCCGAAGTAACGTGTACTTTGTTGCGTTAATAAAAAAGAAGTTTAATGGTTCCGTTTATATGTTGTTTAAGTTAACTGGATATTATTTTAGTAACAGTTCTGATTAAAAAAATATGGTCTTAACATAAGTTCATTCTATTGTGACTGTGTTCCAGTTAACTAAACAGATTTTAAAACCAAAATAAGAGATTTTCACCATGAGATTTTTATAGCATTTTATATTATAATATGCGGCAGAATTTTGTTGAAAATACGCATCATTCACTGAAATAAGGATTCACAGTTTCCATCAAAAGTGGTATTCACTCGCTATATCATCATCATAATATGAAATATAAACAAATAGAACAGAAATTTTTAGAGTATTTACTTCCAAAAATATTTCCTCTTGATAAAGAATTTACATGTAAAGTAATGATCTTACGTATGTCATGTGACGTTGTGTTGTTGCATGTGGAGAGGTAGAACCAATTCTGCGTTCTTTCTGCTTCATTTCCTTCGAAAATTGAACAGCGTTTTGTCGAATTCTCATTGAATATATGAGTGGGTGATCATTTGACGTAATTTCCTGTATGAAACAATCGAGAATGAAGAAGAGTCTCACCACCGTTTTTTTTGGATGGAAATTCTGGCAGACCAGTGATTTCGGTGGGCTGTCTTGGACTTGTGTTACTGAATACGCTATACTGGTTTTATAAACTTTATCCTATGCGATGAGTGGTCAACAGAACAGTGGCGTTATAAATTACGTTTAAGTACATACTTTATTCATGCGATTTGTTGTACCTAAGAGTGTTGAGCAAATCTGGTCTTTCTTTCTCTATCGAAATTTCGTTTGTGTATGGGTAAAGAAAGCAGTGGATGTCATGGACAAAAGTATCGATAAATATTTGTAAAAAATTATATTTGTAAAATCTCAGCGAAATTGAAATGACTAATTCCAACATTTCATCCGGCAATCTGGTCTGAACTTCTTCGAGGAAGTTAATCGAAATTAACATAACGGAAGAAGTTCGGACCGAATTGCCGAACGAAACTTTGGAATTAATCATTTCAATTTCGCTGAGATTTTACAAATATAATTTTTTACAGATGTCTACTTCCCACTCGGAGCCTGATTATTCTGGAACTATTTCGGTCAAATCTTGATCACAGTTCACATGAATATCGATTGATACTCTACAGCTTTTTTTGACTTCAAGTGAATTAATCTGAATGATGTCAGATGCGATGTAATAAGTGTTGAGAACTGTTTAAAAAACAGTAGGGAAGATAAGCGGAAGTATATTCGTCCTCTAGAACAATAACAAAACCGGTAGTATTAAATTCATATAAAAACATCATGCTGTCCTGTGCTATATCTATCACGGTAACTAGTTTAATGAAATGGTGATGACATTTATCCGTCTGTCTGTTTCCCTTCATCTAAAGATGAGCATATTAAAAAAATCAGCGGTATAGGACTAGCTCAAGATATATTATAAAGAAGAACAAAGATTTCTGGGGTGCACTTTTTATTTGGCAAAGTTACAAACAATGATGGAAAACCATAACAATCTAACAATGATATCCTAGCTTGTACGGAGTATTCTTGTTCTCCTTCTTTCGGTCTATTTCATGCCTTCTATACCTACTCACGATTTTCGTCGGTTCTCTTGTTTGCTACTTACTCCGTCACTTATGCATTCATCATTCTCGCAAAAGAATTTACACGATATACTACTCACAAAGAATTACCCGTGGAACTAGCTACAATTTGATAAGGACAACAATATTTATTAGATTGCTTCCAAGATTTATAAAGTGAGATACACTAAAACTGTATTCAGTACAATCTGTTTTACCATTAATTTGCCGAGATAAGGCTTGCAGTCTTTTTAAAACTGACTGTCTCTGTACTTTATTACTACGTATATAATGCGTAGTTATCTGGAATGTTTTACTATCAGGGTCACGTGTGTTAGTATTTTGTAAGCAGTAAAAAAAGTAAGCTCATTATTCACGGTTAACAGCCCGTAATCGTGTTGTTGATTTCGTCTCCTATACTGCTAGTCAGGAAATATTACATCCTAATGCATAATTAACTGGAAGTTATGAGTTAGAGGAAAACAGTACTGAAACAAATTGCAATAAATTACGATTATTCAGATATTTATGTAGGTGGCATTATAGTGTGACAAACTGAGACGAAAAAAGTAGACTATGTCTTGAATCTACATCATTTGGAGTAACACTGAAAACCAGGCAGTGTTATAGGGATGTTTACAGTTCCTAAAGTATTGCACACCCTTGACACCACACACGATTGAACCGACAAACCTCGGGATATGAAGCGTCATGGGTGTGTACTTCTAGACAGTCCCAAATAAAGATGAACCATCTGTTCAGTGCTTCATGACATCCAATAGTTTTCTCAGTGATATTGGTTGATAACCAAATCAACCTTGAAATCAATTCAATGTCTAATGGAAAATACCTGAAAATAAGTGTTCTAATAAGCATACTCTAATTTTGTTCATTTGTCTACACTAAGCTGTACATTGTTTCGAGTCATCTGGAAGTTAAATTTGCTAAAAAATAAACACTTTGCATAATGTCATTTTTCTCATTCTTGCACAACTGAATAACATATGCTATGCTCATTCATTATTTTGATGTTCAAATCTACTGAGCAGAGTTCTAAGCACATTAAATTCCAGTGCATGAATACGCTACAGACTATGTGATCAAAGTCAGATAAGATGTGTATGCTTAAACGATATCGGCGGTTGTCAAACTTTTATGGCGGCAAAGTAGACTAGTTGTTCGCAAAATCTTTCTGTCAGCTTTGTGACATAATAAATGAATAAACAACACGGAGTTCAGTTTTATACAGATGACAACCCGTAGCATGCAGTATTCACTGTTATCTGTGATCGACTGATGAAGTTACTGATCAGTTCTTTTGGTATTCACATCACAAGTAATGTTATTGGCTTTTTAGTTTATTTTTAAGCAGCAGGCAAGTTAAAACAAAACGCCTCAGTTGTTCAGTGGTAGAATGCTCCCCAACCGAGCACATGATCCAGAGTTCGATTCCTGTAACTGGTTGTAAGCTGGAAAAATAGTCAAGGTTTTGTGTGCGACTATCAACTCCACCACGTAATAGGATAACAACACTGCTAGCGAAGCTTCAAAACTGAAGCTTGAAAACATATGTTCCACTTCAAAAGTAAATAAGCAAAATAAATGAAGATAAAACATGAAAAGTATTTCTAGAACTTAGAAGACGTTAAATGTATTATTAGCAAACATTAAAGTAAATATACTGTCCTCCATAAGAAAACTAAAAGGTAATAGCTTATTCTATGACCACAAACTCTCTTTTAACCACTTTCTTCTGAGAAAGACTTTATTAATAATGAAAACATGCCATATGAAATGAATTTTGTCTGTTTCGCATAAAATTTCTGCACGATTTCCTGACATAGATGAATTCCAAATGTCTAGCGAAATTATACAGTCTTTGAAAAGACTAGTAAAGCATTCTGCCTACACAGTGTACAAATGACACAAATATTAGAGATAGTTAACAGATAAGGTGGACTGTAAACGGACTCGTAAGCTGTATGTGTGTGAACATCTATCACAAAAGTCAGAAGTGTTTCTATCATGTAAATAAAATCTAATGACTGACACAATATATGCATTATTTGATAGAAGAATGTAGCATGATGGTGTATTCCTACTGATTGATATAAGTAGTCGTAAGTCTCTGACGTCAGACAGTATACCTGCTAGACGGCCTGATATTGTCTAAACTTATTATCCATGCTTCTGCCAAGAAAAATCTTTCTATCTCCCAAACTGCATCTTAATTAGTATTTTTGATATAAGAATAGAACTTGTGCACTGTGGTAGAGTATAATTCCATTATGAGTAAAGTCTGTTTTGATTACTGAATCCTTGTTCATCGAGTCTACACCCAACACGTGCAATAGGAATGACTCATCACTCATACTGGAAATATAGAAAATGCTACTGCCAATCAAGTCAAGCGATGAGAAATGATGGAATAATATAAACGAAGTTAGAAATTTGTGTGAGTGACTTCATATGATTATGAGCTGTAATAAATTCTACTCGAAATGTCATCAGTAGTATTTTAGATGTTTTCGATCACCTTCATATACTTTTGTATTTCTAACAGCCACCGTGTCACAAAGAATTTATTCAATCGGTACGCAGTGATGTAGTTAACAAGAACGTAAATCAATCAGAAGAAACGCTTACAGGGTGTCGAGAGCATGTAGATGGTCTCCAGTTGTAAGTGTTATGTTCCCATATTAGTTTGTTTATTAGATGTATCACACAGTGAAGCAGTATTATTATTCACTGGATGACACATTTTCGAACACAATTCATTGTTCATAATTATGTTAATTGTAACCGCACAACTTCGAAACTTGAGCTTTATAGTTTTCTTTATGCCTTCCTATTTGTCGTCGTAGGCGTGGTGATAGAATTTTCCAGATATCTGCGACAGGTGTTTAATCATTCCTATTACACGTATTTGCAGTTGATTCGATAAACAAAGCTTCCGTTGTCGATCTCTCCCTACACCCTGTGACATTAGATTTTAAAACTGTCATCCTATCCCATCCAGCCTATTGTATGGTTGTGTATAACTGCATGTCATGCTATGGCTGAACTATTCTCTAGATTTCTTATCTTATTTGGGTCAACTAATCTAGATTTTGCTAGGTTTTTATGTTTGGCTAGTCTGACTGCACCTGTTCTACTACTCTGACCTATATATTTGATCTGACAATGATTCTAGCAGGGTATTAGATAAATTAAACTGTTTTGTTTTAAAGGCTCCACAGGCAAAACCCTTCAACCGACAAAGCTTGTTTCCAATTGAGTGTATGAGTTTGAATGCCAACCACTTTTATTCCTATATTCTTAGGAATTCTCCGTAAGTTTTCTGAGGTTCCTTCCTTGTATAGAATTACTACTGATGATTTAGGTTCCTTATTGTTGGTGTTGTCATTATCCTGTGCATGTCGTCGTTAATATTATTATTGTTATCGATATCACTACCATTATTATTCATAATTTAAATTTTACACTTTCCTGCATACTTCCTGAATAACTTATCAAGGTGATTATTAAGTTTCAAAGCTTCTCTTATATATCTCACTTCCTGTCTTGGATTTTCCTTAGTGCTACTTAGTTCTTGTGCCCTGTTACTTGAACACTTCACCAATCCCATTTGCATTGATATGGGATGGGATAAACCGAAAACCAAATTTCTATTTGTATGTGTCAGTTTTCTGTAAACCCTAGGATTTAACTTCCCATCATCTTTCCTACAATCCAAAATTGAAAGTCCCCCTTTCTGACTTTCCTACTCATAAGTGAATTGAATTTCGTCTAACTCTATGTTGATGTCTTCGAAAAATCTACTATGTTCTAAGTATGATGAATTTGTCATATACGTACCTCCACCGTACTTTGGGGTTGGGGTCAAACGTTTCATTTGCTAATTTTTCCCACCTGTCGGTGAATACATCTACCACTATCGAGATGCAGACATTCCCACTGTAACTTCCTCAGTTTTTCTGTATATTTCCCCTGAGATTTAAATACTGTACAAGGAACGCGTAGTTGCACACTCAGCACTGTATTATATTTCATCTGTGATAATCTTATATCTCAGATCTTTGACCTTTAGCAAATGTAATATTATACTCATTTCAGTACATTAGTTTTTCAAGGTTTTATGTTATTAATTATCACTATGTAAAACGTGTAAAATGAAGAAATATAGGTACACAACTATATAATAATAGTTGATTGTTCTGAATACTGGTAACTTATTTTCTAAAGCCATTTTTATGCAATATATTTGTGCTGACTCTTAAGTAGTTCATTTGCCATTATATAATAATAATGGTGAGTCAGACGTCAAGTTATCCGTTATCAGTTATAACACAGGATTTTTCAAATCACGAAATATACACATTAAATCATAGGAATTATTAAAAAGACAGTTGCAGTGAAGATAATTTTCTCTTCTATCTCATGTAATCAACTAGGCTGTACATCCGCGTATTTACAGTCAATGGGTGAAGTGATTCCAGAACTATTTCCGGTTAGGGGTTAAATTAATAAGATTACAAAGTGTAATGATCAGGAAGATCGGATTCAGTGTTCGAAAGTCAAGTGGTTACATTAAATTCCACAAATTATTGGGAAGAATCGCCAGAGAAATAAGAGTTTTTTAATGTAATTGAGCAAATGTAGCGTGCTAATGGGAAAGCGCGTCCGCCTTGAAGATCTAGTAAGATCATGATTACTGAGAAACTTGACTTTATGGTGCAACTAGGGATTAAAGACATAGTAATAACAAAATGGACAGGAAGTTCGGATAAAAATATAGTAATGCAGATAGGAATTAAAAAACCGACATCAAAATGACAGAAATAAACAGGAAGATTGGATAAGAAGGGTAATAGGACAATCATCATTGATAGGACTGACCTTTTATGATGATGATGGTGGGGACAACGGTTGGACATAGCGTAGGCTTGAAATTTTCAGTCGCTACTACCTCAGCTATCCCCAGATGCTTTGATTTCACTCCCTTGATTTCAGTCCTATCAATGATGATTATCCTATTACCCTTCTTATCCAATCTTCCTATTTATTTCTGTCATTTTTATGTCGGTTTTTTAATTCCTATCTGCATTATTATTATTTATTATTGCTCCCTTGGGTTCCTAGTGGAACATAGGGCTTCAACTGCACGTCTCCATTTTCTTCTGTCTTCTGCTATACTTTTCGCCTGCATCCATGTTAATCCATATTCTTTCAACTCCTCTTCACACGATCTCCTCCATGTCACCCTTGGACGTCCCACACGCCGCTTCCCTTTCGGGTTCCACTCGAGGGCTTGGCGCGCGATGTCACCCAGCGGTCTCCTCAGCGAGTGTCCGATCCATCTCCACTTTCTCCTGCATATTCGTTGGTTGGCGATTGGTTCTTGCTTTGTTTGTTCCCATAATTCCTTGTTGGTGATTCTTTCCGGCCATCTGATCTTCAGTATAGAGCGAAGACAGTTGTTAATAAAGGTCTGCAACAGGCTGTTGGAAATATTCTTTGTGACCCACCCGCCAAGTTTCTGATCCGTATAGAAGAACTGACTTTACGTTTGTATTGAAAATCCGAATTTTGTTGTTGATGCTGAGTGACGAAGATTTCCAGATTGATTTCAGGTTGATGAATGTGTTTCTCGCCTTCCCGATTCTCCTCGATTTGACATCCTCGTCCGCTCCTCCTGTAGTTGAGACAATGCTCCCTAGATAAGTGAATGAAGTAACCTCTTTCAAATCCCTCCCGTTGATGGTGATTGACGTTGGATGTTGTTGCTGTTGTTGGTTGGTTATTTTCATAACCTCCGTCTTGTCTATGTTTACCTGGAGTCCTGTCTTCGCTGCTGCTTCTTCGACCAGTTTGTCGGTTTTCGCTTGTAAGTCTTCGATTGTGTGTGACATCAAACATAAGTCATCCGCGAAATCCAGGTCTTCTAGGTTCTTCACGTCGGTCCAGGATATTCCTGTCTTCTCGTTTCCCACAGTCTGACGCATAATCCAGTCCACCACAATTAGGAATATCATTGGTGATAGTAAGCACCCTTGTCTGACTCCTGTGTTTACTCCAAACGCCTCGCTGAGTTTTCCGTTGTGGATCACTTGACATGTTCCGTTGTCGTACAGCTGTTGAATAAGGTTGATGAATATTTGGGGTACGCCATAGTACTCGAGTAATTTCCAAATTACTTCACGGTCAACGCTGTCGAAGGCCTTCTCAAAGTCTATAAAGTTGAGGTAGAGGTTTGATTGCCATTCCATGCTTTGTTCGATGATGATGCGTAGAGTTGCAATTTGGTCAGTACATGATTTGCCTTTCCTGAATCCAGCTTGTTCTGGTCGGAGTTCTGTCTCCAGTGCGTCCTTTAATCTCTCCAGGATGATGCGACTCAGGATTTTACTTGGCGTCGATAGGAGCATGATTCCTCGCCAGTTCTTGCAGAGTCCTAAGTCGCCCTTCTTTGGTAGTTTCACGAGGTAACCTTTCCTCCAGTCAGTAGGCACCTTTCCCTCCTTCCAGACCTTTTGCAATAATGGAGTCAGCATGTCTGCTGTCGTCTCTGGGTCTGCTTTCAGTGCTTCAGGGGGTATTCCATCTGGTCCGGCTGTTTTTCCAGCTTTCAGAAGTTTGATTGCGTTCAAGACTTCAGCTCTCGTTGGAGGATTGGTGTCAACTTGCAGTTGTGTGCGCGCTGTTGTTGGTATTTCTGGACGGGTTGCAGGTGATGGTCGGTTCAAGAGTCCTTTGAAGTGATCCGCCCATTGTTTAATCTGTTTTTCTTCCTTGGTAATGGGCTTCCCTTGGCTGTCTTTTATAGGTTTCGCTTGTGTTGGTCTCTTCCCGGATAGAGATTTGGTTATCTGATATAGTGTCCTCAGGTCCCTTTTGCCTGCTGCCTTCTCAGCTTCAGTAGCTAGATTGTCGTAGAATCGTCTTTTGTCCTTCCTAGCACTTTTTTCACTTCTTTGTCCAATGCTTTGTAAGTTGAGCTCATCGTCTCCTTCTCCTGTCCGTCCTTGCATTGAATCATTTTCTCTTTCACCATTCTCCTCTCTTCTATTAATTTCCAAGTGTCCGTTGAGAGCCATTCCTTGTCTTGTCTCTTCTTTCTTCCTAGAACCGTTGAACACGTTTCGTTGAGAATCGCCTTCAGAGACTTCCAATGTTCTTCCACGCATGATTCTTCAGTGATGTCGCGTAGTGTTTCCTGCTTTGCTCTGACAGTTGCAGTGAAGTGTCTTTTGTGGTTGTGTCCTTCAGTTTGAGTGTTGAACTTGCATTGTGGCCTATCCCCAGCTATCCTCGAGGCTTTTAGTTTCACCTTGAAAGTCCCTTCTACTAGATAGTGGTCTGAACCCACATCTGCTCCTCTCCTTGACCTTGTGTCCAGTAGGCTCCGTCTCCACTTTCTTGAAATTGAGATGAAGTCTATTTGGTTCTTGGTGTTTCCATCTGGTGAAATCCATGTCGTCTTGTGTATATCCTTGTGTTTGAACACACTACCACCAATCACCAAATCATTGAAGGCGCAGAAGTCTGAGAAGAGTTCACCATTGTCGTTCATTTCACCGAGGGCCTCACGACCCATGGTGAGTTCTCTTCCTGTGTTGTCTCCTCCCAGCTTCGCATTCATGTCGCCCATCAGGATTTTGATATCGCCATTTGGGACG